TGTGGGTGTGGGTGTGAGGGTGAGGGTGTAGGTGTGGGTGGGTGTGGAGTGAAAAGAATATCCATACTTGTACTCACACCCTCACCCACCCACACCCACCCACACCCTGCAAATCAATTATATCAACCCACGCATGTTATCTTTGATTCGGCTGGAAACATTTATGTATGCGATGCCAGTGAGTACCTCTCATCTATCCGTCGCAAATCATTGATTGCATATTTCAGTAAAAGAAACTTATTTTATCTAGAAGCTTTACAAAATCGTTAATTGGAGAGAAATTGTGTTTTGTCAGAGCACTGCCCATTGAGAGAGATAGTGTTTGTTTAAAAAATCGAAGTTCATTTTGATACACTTTTATTACGTCGATATCGACCAATAATTATCTCCATGCAAAATATGTTACTTTGAAAAAATCCATTTGATATCTTTCATAATCGCTGATAGTTCGAAAAGCCCAGCATATAGGATTAAAAAACCATAGTCGCATAAGTTTACATAACCTTTTCTTCATCATGGGTCTTTTTTTGAAGGTAACAATAGAATTCAACGATGGGTGAATGGATTATCTACGGCAGAGATGGAGCCGGTACCGGCAACCGGCCGGTCCGAACTTTAGACCGGTAACTCTACCGGTATTTACCGGTCTGCCGGTTTCTTACTGCCCTGTTTTCTGCTAAAAGCTTTTTTTCCTGAAAAATAATTTTTTTTCCGAAAATTTATCTGTACCCCCCTACGGCGATAAAATATGAACGTTGTTAGCAGTCAAATCTAGTATAACATCCGTTCAAGTCGAATCGACTTAACGACTTTTACACTACTGTTTTTTACCGGTCTACCGGTTTCTTACCGGTCAAACCGGTAGACCGGCCGGTCCGGTCCGGTCTAAAAGTTTTAGACCGGTACTGGTACCGGTCGTCAGAAAACCGGACCGGTTCCATCTCTGATCTGCGGGTTCCAAAATAGTCGGTACTGGAGTAGCTGGTCTAGACTCCAGTCAATAACACAATCAATTTGGCATCGCTTTTGATTTGTTCAATAATTTGTATGTTGCGGATGCTTATAATAACCGCGTCCAACGATTTAATTTAAGACATGCTTGAGTGATAATAACAATGAAATGAACTTTGAATTTCAATTAGAACATAAATAATTATAACTATTCTTCACTGTAATTTTTTTTTAAATTCTACTTATTAGAAAATCAATCTTAAATAAGCTCAAGCGTTTTATAAACTTATGATTTATTCATTGAATTTCTACAAATTCAAAAATGCTTGATTTTCCAATTTGTAGAAATTCAAGTTGGTTTTCAAAAAAAATCATTCTCTGCAAAATAGAAAATCAATATTGATTTTAAATAAAATTTGAAAATCAATTCCGATTTCAAGAAAATCATTTTGTTAATTTTGACATGATTTTTTTCACTATTTTTTAAAATTAATATATACAATTAATTATCATATGGGACACGTGATATATTATTTGTTTTGCGATCTAATTCATATCAAGATTATATATAAAGGCCTTTCGATTTTAAATTTTAATTTCTAGTTCATTTTTAGCTATTTAAATAAAATTTGAATTAATGTGCATATATAATATATTACAGTAGTTCTAAATACTTCTCATATGAAATTAAAATCAATATCAAGAGAGAAGCATGCATCAAAAATAGAATGCTTGTCCACTCTGCTCAACTTTGACCTCATTTATTCATGTATGTGGATGATTTTTTGTTTAAGCTAAAGAGAAATGACTTGGTATATATTAATGTTCATGTTTAGTAATAAAAAAAAATATGTTTTAACTATGGTTTTAATTCTTCAATCATTTTCTATTTTTATTCGAAATATAAATCATTTGCTTTATCTAAAAAATAACTTGAATATAATGAAGATTTTTTTATCGTTACAGAGAAAAAGTATTACATTTTTCTTCTATGAGTTTCAAAACTTAAATTAAGTTTTATTCAAAGATAAATAATTTTTTCATCTACTATGTATTTCTTTGTTTATCACAAGTATTAGAAAAAAACGACAATCGTATAGTCATCAATCATCTGGAAGAAAACTGAAATTTTTAAAATTTGAACTTGCTTCTTGACGAGTAAGGATTAAACTTTTATTATGTTTTTCTAAGTTCTTTTTTTCAGGAATATATTGTAGAAGAATATCAACAACCAGAAGAATTATTAATGCAATTATATCAACAGACTGAATCAATGCGTGTTATGATCAACACAACAGATTATGATTGTAGTCAAGTTAAATTAAAAATGAATACAACATATTCACATCGTTAACAACTTGTTCGAGAGATGAAGTCTATCAAGGATATTGTTGAATTATATTCAGCTTTATCAACAACCAATATAGTAAGTATTTGTATATAGCTTATTGATTGATAAACAGGTTGATGTAAAGCTATGAAATTTAGATAGACCATTTAAGAAAGTTGATAAATTCTCAATAACATGACTGTATATTTATTATTTTTTTTAAATTGTTAATTCGAGAAATAAATCTTCGGTGTGATTCATTTGGTGGTGATATTGTTAAAACATTAACATCAGTTTGTGCAAAA